TGGAAGAGGTGGTGGCAGCTGCTGTTGGCAGCTTGGAGGTGCTCTTTGAGGATGAGCCAGGAGCAAGTTCCGCTCTCAGGCATCGCTCGGCGGCAGCTCGGGCACTCAGGGAAAAGGGCCGGCAGTATGCCTCGCTTGCCAGCTCTCCCCCAAGACAGCGCCTCTTGCACCCTCCATCTGGAACTGCAGCTTGCCAGCCAGCAGACAGGTGGGCTGGCTGGCAGGCTGCAGTTCCCGATGGAGGGTGTAAGAGGCGCTGTCTTGAAAGAGAGCCGGAGAGCGAGGTGAGGCTTTTTTTTTACTCTTGACAGCAGAGGATGCGTGGCCGCTGCAGGGGAGGCAGGCAAGGCAGGGGCCACAAACTATCATCCGGCGGTTCACAAATGGCCCCGGGCCGCATGTTTGAGACCCCTGAGTTAGAGACTTGCATATGCTGGTTCAATCATCAGTCTAGATGGAGACTGCAGCCAAGAAATCAGAAGAAGACTGGACTTGGGGGGGGGCAGCAATGAAGGAATTAGAAAAGATCATCAAATATAAGGATGTGAGGGCAAGAGCAAGATCGTTCTGACTATTGTATTCACAATTATTCTGTAGTGGTGTGAAAGCTGGGCAGTGAAGAATGCTGACAGGAAGAAATTGATTGAAATACGGTGTTTGATTATGGTTTCTCAGATACCCTGGACTGTCAAAAAGATGAACAAGTGGATTCTAGATCAAATCAAACCTGAACTATTTCTGGAGGGGAAAATGATGGAACTGGGGCTGTCCTACTTTGGGCAAATCACGAGAAGGCAAGACAAAAATGCTGGATAAAAGTTGAAGGCAGGAGAAAAAGAGGAAGACCAAATAAGAAATTGATTGACTCCTTAAAGGAAACCACAGGCTTGGATCTATAAATGCTGAGCAGGGCTGTTGAGGAAAGGCCATTTTGGAGAATACTCATTCATAGATTTCCATAAATCAAAGATGACTTGATGGTGCATAACGAATACAACAACAACAACGGTTGGTCTCTATTGTTTATGTTTGTTTGTCAACTTGGGAAAAAATCTCTAAAATGCAATAAAATAATCATAATAATAAACTAATCTGCAGGACTGCGTTGTTAGCCATTTCTCTTTCTTGCCGTCTGTCTTACTAAAATTTCCATATACAGGGTATACACAGGCTTTTTATTTCCTGAAATAAAGCCTTCTATGTCAATTCTGCCTGGCCATCTGTTTTCCAATCAAAATTTAAATTTGATAGTTTACTGCATTGGCTAGTGATACTGACCACCCGTGTTGCTTGTTCACAAAAACCTTATGCCAGATGCTCACAAATGTCACTCTGTCCCTTTTGTTGAAGGGTCTGGCTAGAAAATCTGAGGAAGGCAAATTGATGGTATGCTTTGTTTGAACTATTTTAAAAATATATCCCACAGGGAAATATTTCTTGCTCCTTTCCTGCCCCAGTTCATAACCACTGTAAAATAAATGGCCGAGAGAGTGATTAATTTGATGATCTTACTACTTTGCTAATGGTTGGACAAGAGAGGTGCCTTAGTCTGCTGTTTTGGAGTGAAATGACGCTTCTGTTTGTGGATCAAGAGTTGCTTTTGCTTACTAGTCTCTCTGCTGTATGTTGGAGGTGTATTTGTTTCTTAGGTTTCTCTATTAGCTCTGTTTCAAGTAAAAGTAAGCCAAAACACAGGAGCATATCCGTAGTACTTTTATGATGTGCACTATGCGCCTATTTGATAGTTCTGGAGGTTTGTAAAACATGAAACAATATAAATTGATGCTATATTTTCTTTAGAATTCTGAAATACTTGTCCTTTCATGAATCACAGCTTCTCTATCACTGTGTGGTTTGTGGGTCATTGGTAAATGAAAATAATTGTGTTCTGGTAATAACAGTAAAATCTGTTTTTTCTACTTCATATTTCCATTTTGTGTTTATGTTCAGTTTCACTAGCTCTCTTGTTTCTTTGCTTTCTAGAGCCAGCTAAAAGCCTCCATTTGGATAATCTTCAAGCTCCCTGGCTCTTCGTATTTTTATCTTTTGCTGCCAAAAAATATAAAATAAAATTATTTTGTTAAATGATCTACTTTTGGCTAATTATGAGATATTTGGTATTCCATTCTAAGTACTGCTTTCTTAAAAAAAATAGATTAATGTAGTCATTCTCAACCTTTTTTTGGCCACAGCCATAAACACAATATGAAAGAAAAATAAGCTAAATCAGGATTGTAGAATTAACATAATAAACCTTGTGCGTTGGTGTATGAAGAATTGTTTCCAGTCTGTGACCCTTTCAAATGTGCCAGGGACCCCCACTGAGAATGGCTGGGTTAATGGAAATGTGACTGGGAAAAAAAGATACAAACATTTGTCAATCATTAGGAAAATTTTGCAAAATTATATAGGAGGTTGCATTTAGTTTGTTTATATGGAAAAACTTGGAAGTAAAGGATAGCGGAATAGAATTCTTCATAAATAAATAGTCCTCACCCCACCTGATTTCTCCAGGTGACAAATTTAATCAGGAGGAGATTTCAACTTAGAACTTTCAGTTTTTGGAAAGCCACAAAACTTCAAAGTCTTTTTGTTTCTTAAAATGTTAGTAATGACACCTGATTGTATGGGCCCCAAGCAAGTTTGCTGTTTTTCAATCAGGGGAGACGGGGGAAATGCGTTACTCCTAAAATGCAAGAGCAGCATGGATTTGCATAAAATGCACACAAATTCTAATTTTTATACATAGATACAATTTTAGAAACAATAGCAATAGAATCATAGAACTGTAGAGTTGGAAGAGTCCCTCTGGGTCATCAGGTCCAGCAGCCTCCCAAAGCAGGAAATCTGTTACTAAAGCATCTCTGACAGGTCCAGCAGCCTGCCAAAGCATGAAATCTGTTACTAAAGCATCTCTGACAGGTAATCTCTGTTTAAAAACCTGCAATGAAGGAGAGACCACCACCCTCCAAGGCAGTCCATTCCACTGTCAAACAGCTTTTATTATCAGTGATTTTTGTGGTTGGATCTAGATTTCTACTGAGTGAAGGGAGTAAGTGGAAGCTGAGTGTCCTGTCTCATTGGCCTTCAGGATGCCACTAGAATGCCACAGAAACATTGCCTTGAGGGTCAGGCGCCCTGCTGGATGGGATAGGCTGTAGGCTAAAAAGGAGGGGGCATGAGTGGAAAATCGTATATTAAAGGCAATACTGGCATGTACAACATTTTCCCTCTAACTGCACAGTTTTCTTTCAAAGCTCTGTATCTTAGCAGTTAGACTTACAAATGAAGCTTTCCCATGACCAGTGCTTTTCCCTGTAAAAAAGAGTTTCCCTATAATGAAGTGCTACCGCTGCGGGCTAAACCACAGAAGCCTGTGCTGCAGGGTCAGAAGACCAAGCAGTCGTAAGATCGAATCCACGCGACGGAGTGAGCGCCCGTCGCTTGTCCCATCTCCCGCCAACCTAGCGGTTCAAAAGCATGCAAATGCAAGTAGATAAATAAGGACCACCTCGGTGGGAAGGTAACAGCGTTCCATGTCTAAATCACACTGGCCATGTGACCACGGAAGATTGTCTTCGGACAAAACGCTGGCTCTATGGCTTGGAAACAGGGATGAGCACCGCCCGCTAGAGTCGAACACGACTGGACAAAAATTGTCAAGGGAAACCTTTACCTTTACGCTACCCAGGAGAGACACTTTCCATGACCGAAGCAGGATGCACCTCGAAACAATTTTTCGTGATCTAGCGCTTCCCCTTAGCCTCCGTTTCACATGTCAAGGGAAACCTTTACCTTTACCCAGGAAAGACACTTTCCATGACCGGAGCAGGATGCACCTCAAACCAATTTTTCGTGATCTAGCGCTTCCCCTTAGCCTCCGTTTCACAGCCTTCTCCACCCCAAACCTTCAAAAGAGCATTTTAAAGGATCTTTGATAAACTAGTAGGGAGAGAAGGAGATGGTGGGAGGTTAGCTTCCACCTGCCCTGTTTTCTAAGTGGGTATCTGAATGCAACCCAGAACGATAAAAGTGGCACTTCCGCGCTTTGCTTTCTTTCATTTGGATGCCTGGCATAGGTGCCCTGCAAATGTGCACTAATAATTTTAAAGCAATCTCCCTGCCACCACCAGCCTGGCACATACTGTATCTGTTAATTTTCATATGTTTTTTCAGATGCAATACATTTAAAGTTGCTTTGATTGATTTTGGAATTTTCAAATTCATTTTCCTAGGAAGATAAATACATTGCTATAGATAGTGCTGCTTAAGCATCCCAGCATTACTCTGTAACCAATATGTGAGGTACACTTGTTTTCATTAGATCCATACAGGTTTACAGCATGAAATAATTTGGCCATGTCAGCCCAGCTGTGTCCCACTGGATGAAAAACTCCTGCCTGAACTACTTAAAGAAGCAGGATACGTGACTCACATGGTGGGGAAGTGGCATTTGGGAATGTATAAGAAAGAATGCCTTCCAACCCGCAGAGGGTTTGATACTTACTTTGGTGAGTGGCACCAACTCTACTCCTTCTGTGTTTGTTTGAATACCTCCGGCTTGGAAGTAAAAGCAAAATTTTGTGGCCTGAGCTGGTCGTAACTTGAAATGGTCGTAAGTAAGGGCGTTCGTAAGTCAAGGCACCACTGTATTCTGAAAAGTGATGGTCTCACTCACCAGTTGGTGTCAGCAGCAGATCAGAGATGTTGGCATAGTTTGCATGAAAAATATTTCAATCAACGTGTTACCCTTGGGAGAGGAATACCACAACAGTTTGATCTTCAGCAATTGCTGCAAACGTTCAGTTTACAAAAAAAAAATGCTGATTTAAAATACTGAAAACACTATCCTGGCTACCTTTGATGTTCTTACATCTGACACTTTGTAATTTGAATTTCAATATTTTTGAAACATTTGATGGTCTAAAAACATAACGGGACTGCTTACCAAGTAACTGTATCTTAATTTTTTTTCTGATACTCTTACTTCATATCAAATTAACAGAATGAATGTTGCCAAGTGGTTTCCTTGGTTGTATTTATTGTCAAATTCTGTTTAGATATCCTTTTTAAGCAGCACAGACTAGAGAAATCCTCACCTTCTACTGAGTTAGAGAAGTGTGAATCTTGCTGTCTTTTCTGTTTCTATGGCTCTCCTTCTGCAGTAGTGATATTATTGATCCACCCCACCCTTTTTTACTTGTTTTAGGGTATCTTCTTGGGAGTGAAGATTACTACTCTCATGAGCGTTGTGTGCTCATTGTATCAAAGAATGTAACACGATGTGCTCTTGATCTACGAGACGGAGAAGAAATTGCAGATGGATTTAAAAATATGTACTCAGCTAATCTTTTTACAGAAAGGGCTCTAGATCTTATAGCAAATCATCAAATTGAGAAGGTATGATTTCCCCCTTTCTCTGTGTTTCTGCAAAGTAAAAGTTAGAATTACTATATTTTAATGCATTCCTGATCAAACCGAATCAAAAACTGGAGTGCATGTGTGTACTTAGCTACTCTTAGGGTCAAATAGGACATTCAAGAAAATGCAATGACCATTCACAAAACAGAGCATGCTAGAACGTAAGAACCTGAGTCCAAGGATGAGCCGGTGACAGACTTTTGTCCCCATTTGAGAGAGCACTACTTCTAATTATGTGATGTGTTGTCTGAGCCCAGGCAAGGTTTCTCTAATTTTCTGCTAGCGCTAGGTGTAGCCCCCACCCAATGTGCAGGGAGGGGGAGGTTTCACCACAACTGGAACTAAATGGGCGGCAACACTGGCTTGTGGGGGTGTGGCATGGATGCAATACTACACAGCCGGACACCTGCACAGCTTAGAGCGAACGTTGACCCCAGGGTAATCAAATAACTACAGTGGTGCCTCGCTTTCCGATTGCCCCGCATTACGATGAATCCGCTTAATGACGATCTTTTTGTGATCGCAATTGTGATTGCAAAACGATTGTCTGAATGTGGGAATTTTGCTTTGCGATGATCGGTTCCCTGCTTCGGGAACTGATTCTTCGCAAAATGATGTTTTTTGAACAGCTGATCGGCGGTTTCAAAATGGCCACCGGGTGATTAAAATAGCTCCCCGCTGTGTTTAGGGAGCGATTCCTCGCTATATAGGCAGCGAAAATGGCTGCCGTATGGAGGATCTTCGCTGGATGGTGAGTTTTTACCCCATTGGAACGCATTGAACGGGTTTCAATGCATTCCAATGGGGTTTTTATTTTCGTTTTACGATGTTTTCGCTTAATGGCGATTTTCCTGGAATGGATTATCATCGTTAAGCGAGGCACCACTGTATGTTTCATTGAAACATTGGGCAATTTCATATCAAAACTCTACATAAAAGCTTTAATGTTCAAGAAAACTTTGGGAAATAAAAAAAACTCTTGGAAAATAAGAATATCTTATGATTAAGATATGAAGCCCTGTGTCTATGGCAATGGGCTAACAAGACTTTATTGTGGATTACTTCTTGTCCTGATGTAATGTCTTAATTGCAACGTTAGGGCATTAATTAATTAATTAATTTTAAAAATTGTTTACACTCAGTAGGTGACATCCTTTTGCATTGTTTCAGCTTTCAGAGTCTCCACTATAACATTCTTTAGATAAATGCTCAACTACAGAGACCGTCAGCACCAGTCAGGATGGTCACTGCTGTGGTGAGATTTGCAGTGAAGCACATATAGAAGGCACCAGGTTGAGGTAGCCTGAGCTGGATCATTCCCATTATTAATATAAACTCAGAGAAACGTGAATGGTCTTTTCTCCAAGATCCTAATCCTTGACAGTTGAAGACACAAGAAGAGCTGTCGTTACAGATGGAAGGTTATCAGAAATTGTTCTGATTTCCCACATATAATGCTGTTATATCTTTCTCTCCTTCTTTCTGTGTATATTCGTTATAGCCTCTGTTTCTCTATTTTGCTCTGCAATCTGTCCATGATCCTCTTCAAGTGCCTGAGAAGTATATGGAACCATACTCTTTTATCAAAGATGAAAAGAGGCGGAAATTTGCGGGCATGGTATCTATTATGGATGAAGCTGTAGGAAATGTCACCGCAGCCCTGAAAAGATATGGACTTTGGGACAACACTGTTCTAATTTTTTCCACTGGTAAGAGTGAATAATAATTATGTGAACATGCTTGCAGTTCTTTTACATATGACACTAATTATCTAGCTAGTAAATTAGTAATTGCTGCTGAGAAGAGTCCAGTTTATATTTGGAAAGTGACACTGTTCTCTAAGTAGACCCTACACAAGGGAAGATACTGGTCCAGGAGCCAATTTTGTCATCACCCCGTTACTCATTGTGGACCACATCATCTGATGAAACCAGGATTGATCAAAGCCCACTTTCGTTTTCTGTCTCCCTTCTTCACTAAAAGAAGGAAACCATGCTTCCATTCTTTCACAGCTAGAGCCTTTTAGCTCTAAGCTGGCATCTTAGATTAATTTGGTGTGTAGTGAAAAGGTTTTTCTATGTTAAATTAATCACTTTGTTCCTACTGGTAGTAGGTAGCTTTGTGTGACATATCATGGTCTATTTGTAGTTTGTTTTACTTCTTATTTACACCTAAAATAAATAATGAAGTGAGTTTGATTTAAACAAACAAATAGGATTTTTATTGAAGATCCATAGGTAATAGTTACGAAGGAAAAGGTAGGTCCTAGGTTGTAATGATAAAACAGTAAAATGTAAATATATTTCTTTATCAAAATAACTTATTTACAGACTCTTAGTCTAACACACACAGAGAACTCTCTAGGGAAACTTCCCTTAATAAACTCCAGCACAGACTACTTTATCCTGACTGACTGTCAGACTTCCTTCTTTATACTGAACCTCAGATCTACGTTTCTAAATAATTCTCTAACTAAACTAAATTGTCATACAGACTAGATTCCTGCCCCAAATATTCCAACCTGACTAACGGATCAGTATTCAGTCATTCAGTTATCAATCACATCAGCACCTTGCCCATACAGTACTATCCACTAAAAAAGCATACAATGCTCTTGTCATACAAACCTGGTATAGTTAATTATAAATATATAAATACATGGAAAGTTCAAGAAAAGGTGGAAAGTCTTGGAGGAGCTCCAACAGCAACCAAAATAAGAGTTTTATATAAGCTATATGTTGACCGTCTCAGTGTTTGTAGAAGGCAACAAGGGACACTGTAAAAATGCAAGAACCCATTCTTCTTTTAAATCTTTGTTTACTTTAAACATCCTTTGATCTTTGGCAAAATAAATAAATAAATAAGCAAGCAAGCAAACTTTCAAATCAATTGCTGCAATCAATAGTAGGGTTTTGTGTTTTTTTTGCTTAAAATCTGAAAAAAGGTGTAGCACAAAAGGAATCAGATGGGGAGAAAGGGAGGGAGGGCAGGTGGTTTCTGGCACTACATCTTAGTTCTTATAAGCAGCCTTCAATATGACCATGGGAGGCGAGAAAGGAGGAGACTGTAGAAGGGAAGAATTACAGTAGGGCAAGGTGGCAAAAAAAACCTGGAGTAGAATTTTTGAGAACATAGCCCTATTCAGGCATACTGCTAGATTTAAATGCACTGGGAGAGTGAAAAAAAGTGTTGGCTTTCCTTTATTGGGTGGCACATTGGGGATTCTAACTCCATTCCCCTGGTCTTCAGCCGGGCACTCCAGCCCACTGAGCTATAACAGCTCATAATCATTGCTGCTTTTATCTGTATACTGTATAACATATTTTTTATGTTTATATATATTGTTTAAAAGCTACCTTCCAGACATTTTTAAGAAGCTCAATTTTATTTCACTTTTTAAATACAGTAATATAAGCTGTGCTCCAGGGCTTTTCCTAGGAGTTGCTGGGCAGTGAGAATTTCAACAGGTTTACGAGCTTGTAGCTGTTCCAGGCACAGGTCTAATATAGAAAAGTGAAGGTTTTAGTTGTAACTGACGCTTTCCAGTAGAGGGTGCCACAAGACATGAAATAGAACTTCTTTGCCAGCAAATTTATTCTATTAGAAAGAGCTCACGTGTCAATTTATTTCCACATTGGATGATACTGTTTTGTTAATTTCCTTCAAATCTAAAGCCCACCACTACCACTGCTTTACTACTATTTCTCAGAACTTGTCACGATCTTCCTCCCAAGGGCAGCAAAACAAAACAAACCTGAATGTCCCCCCCCCCCAATCAGCAGCTGGTGCAAGTTAGTCAACATCCTGTTGCTATTTAGCACCTTACAGACAGTTTTTGTTCTCTCTTTTTCTGGAAGTCCTAATGCTTGCAGGATAGCAGACTGCTAGCTTGAATAGACATGGTGTAGTGCTGAGTGACTGAACAGAATTTGGAAACTATTTATTTATTTATTTATTTTATATCCCACCTATCTAATCAGTTAAGACTACTCTAGGCGGCTTACAGTAGCAAAAACGACAATATAATTAAAAGCAATTTTACATAAGGAAAACTTTCGGCAAGATGGGACAGACAGTAGGGGGTGGAAGGAGAGGGGAGGAGGGAGGGGGGATTTAAATCCACGCTTGGGTTCACTGGGTAAACTCGTGCCTGCCATACTATCTCTCAGAGAGTCTGCTACCACCACTGCAAACAGATTCTTTGCACCTGCACTGAGGATACCTCTTAACAATATTGGCGCTGGACCAGAACACAATTAGACACTATTATAACTTTTTTTTGCAGAAGAGTCCCTCCCCCCAAAAGTGGTGAAAGATGTCTGCTTGTCATAGGACACAGCTATATGCTGTTCTTAGTTTTGTGATTAGTCATTGAAAGGTAAAAACAAGATTAATTTGCTAGTCTGATTGCTGAGGCATGGCTTCTGAGGACATCCACTGTGGGAAGCAAGAGGATTTTCTGTAATGCCCAGTTTTGACTGGTCAAGTTTGCACATGGCAAAAATGGGGAGAGGGGACTCCAGTGATACGTTTGTCAAAGTCTGTGCCTTTCTGAACCATACATGTTTGTCCTTGATGTAGAGAAGGAAGGAAGGGTTTCAAATGAACTGATTTGTTCATTTTTGTCATTTGTTACATGCTTCCAAACCCTTGAGATATGCAGATTATTAGTCTAAATAAATTATACTGTGAAATTTGCAGAGATCTACCCATACCTTAGTGGTGTTTCGTCTGAATAAGGCCAGTAGAAATCTTTTGAGGAGTAGTAGTAGTATTAGTAAACTCAAATAGTAGTATTAGTAAAGGCAATAAGAAAAGCATTTGTGCAACAGTTTTAAACTGATGATCCAATATCGATTATTTTGTTGTTTCAGTGTGCTGGTGCTAAAATGGTAATGTTGACAAATAAAGGGAAAGGGTGAAATTTATTTCCCAAACAGAGAAATGCAGGTGGTTTCCCACTTTATTCCCTGTTAGCTAGGAATTAGCTGATATGCAAATCGAATTCTAGAACTTTATTGTTCACTTCTATATCCTAGAGGGGATCACATTGTTCAACAGATCTTAAACAACCATATTAAATTTTGGAATAATGAATTAGTTTCAGGTACATATCTTGTTGTTTGCACATAGAGTAGCCGGTGCTAGATTTATGCACATACCAGGTAAAATTAATTTTAAAGCCCCATAATCTGAAAGGTTAAAAAAAAAACCTCTCCCTCCACCAATAAAACAAAAACCCTGTTAGGATATGTTGGGGTACACATTTTTGGTAATGCTATGTGACCTCTTAAACTTGACATAGCTTAGGGCTTCAACATTTCTTTATCTAACCCTGAGGGGAGAAGGCCTTCGATTCATTTTTTAAAAATCCAATAGGAATGGGAATATGGAGTAGCCTGTTCTACTATTATTCAATGTAGCTAAGAACTGACTGCCTCAGACTTGATGCTTTATACACAACAGTAGAACTGTGTGCACATACACAGAGCCTTAAATTCCCCAGTGCAGAAGTTCAAGAGTCCAGTTCAGGAGGAATGCCAGGGGTCAGAAATTAACTGGTTGAGCTATGAATTGAAGCCTTCACAGAGGCTGTCTAGTTGTAATGAACACTATTAATCCTTCCCTTTCATGAGCTCTGGAAGGATTCACCCACACTATTCAAAAACTAATAATGAAAAATAAATGACATGCTTTTATTGCTATCTTTGGCAGCTGGCTCTGAATGCTTCATCTAAATTGAAGTGTACAGAACAGCGGCCTGGATTCCTTGTAGGCTTCCCCCCCTGCTTAAATTCAGTCCACAACCTCATGCTTCTTTAATAAGTAAATGTTTCAGACATTCCATATTAGCACCACCCTGTTATAATCCTTGACATATTTAGTCTCCCTTTTGTTGTTCCTAAGATAGATAGCTAAATTTCACACTTGTCAGATGAATGAGCTTCCTCTTGCTTAAAAGGGATTCCAGATGCAATATGCCTCTTGATGCTGGTTATTGATTTATTAACATATTACTGAAAACTTTAATTGTATATTGAATATAAAACTGCTTTAATTTGGAAGGAAGACAAGTAAAGTGGAGGGGGAGCATGACAGAAGTTTTATGAAGTAATGCACTGTGGGGAGCAGAGGGAGAGACAGAAAAGTTTTCTTCCTTTCTCACAACTGTAGCCAGAGCTTGGAGACATTATTGATTTGAACTACAACTCCCATTTTTTCTGGATGGATGGAGGGTTGTTTTTTTTAATTGTGTTCCAAAGAACTAGGTTTGCCAGCTCTGAGCAGAATGTGGGTCACCCGGTGTAGTAGATTGCCAGTAAATTCCCGTTAAAGCAAGCACAAATAGCAGCTAATGAAGCACAGGATTAATTTATGGAATTAAATACCATCATATGTGGTGATAACTCCTGGCTTAAGAGAATGGGGGGAGTAGCGATCCTGCGACTTATGGCTCACGTGCCAGCAGAAGGGGCTTTGCGTGCCAGCTGTGGCACGCGTGCCATAAGTTTGCCATCGCTGCTCTAGAGGCACTTCTTGAAGCAGAAAGCTAAATTAAAACGAACCCTTGGTCTGATCTCTTCTTGCCTCTTTGAAAGAACAATGAGCTTAGTTTCTTTAGTGTGCCAGAGCTGCTCAGGCCTCCGTTTTAGTCAGCCCAAATTCATGTGCAACAAAATTGTCAGTTGATTGTAACAGCAGACTTTGT